CTAACCACTATCCTACCAAGCTGATTTTTTTCTATCAGTTATGCACCATTTCAGGTAAACTAGGAGACCAAGATGTTGAGTATCTATACTGGCTTGTGTGGCTTATTGGGCTAAGTGTGTGTCATGGTGGTGATGTGGTGAGCATTACTGCCTTCCACCCTGGGGGCCAGGGTTCAAGTCTCTGCTAAGGTTGTGTGTGTGTGTGTGTGTGTGTGTGTGTGTGTGTGTGTGTGTGTGTGTGTGTGTGTGTGTGTGTGTGTGTGTGTGTGTGTTCGTTCCCTGTGATGTAATGGGGTTTATGCTGCCTGCTGAAACACTGTGTATAAATTTGGAAGTATGTGAAACTGAATTTTATGACAAAAGGCAATAACAACGAAAGTTCTTATCGCATGATGTCTACCTGGATTTTTTAAGCCTAAAGTAGGAAAGCATGAGTGTCATCAGTCTACAGCGTGAGCTGTCTGTCTTCCTGTGGGGGGCATGTCCATGGGCTGTGGGGGTGGCCGAGGGCTGGTCTCCTTCACCCCTCCCTCTCTCCCTCCCAGTTCTGTGGCACCCCACCCTTTCTTTTAACCCATTTGCACCTCCCGTGTGATGTTCCCAGTGGCTTGTCTCGCCGCTGGGCCGCTCAGTCTTCCCCAGCCTGAGCTCTATTGGTGCATTCCATTTGCCCTCGGAGCTCGGATTCCGAAACAGATTCCGAGTTTTGAAGCCGGAAGTGATGACATGCGCGCTCCCGTTTCTCGGAGATCCGAGAAATATCTCGGATAACGCAGAGGATCCCGAGTTCAGAATCCAAGATGGCTGCGCCCTTTATCAACAGAAGGGAAAGTTGTAGTCTTATCCTGTTTAAGCACTACTTCTCATTTGTGGCTCATTAAATCGGTCGCATACACTATACCGTCCAACTTATCTGTGGATGTGTTGCTACGGAGTGAAGCACCGCGCGTAATGTGTTATCAAGTGATATTGCTAACAATGGCAATTAACCGGGCTAGAATTGGATTTCATGATTAGACGGATTATTTGTTGGATTTAAGGTAGTTCGGGCTAATTGTAAGTGAACGAAGATAAAGGCCATTTAAACTGAGGTACCTTAAATCCGACAAGTTGTCCAGCTAAGCAAAAAAATCTTCCTTTTTCATATGGGTCCATGGTATTCCTATTTCTGTAGTAAATGGAACGTATCCGACTTGGTTTTCCCGAGTTTTTAGCGGATGTGACGTAATATCGGAATCCGAAAATCGGATCCCGAGGCAAATAGAATGCAGCATATAACCAAGGTGAATGTGCTAAGGCCCACCAGCTGGTGTCGCTGTTCACACCTGCAGCTG